ACTCGGCTCAGGCTTTCCTAAATCAATTTCTTTCTGCCACAATGAAAAAAATATCTCACATTTTGAAACAGAAGTTTTGTTGTTCGTTCCATTTTCAACAGGAAAGATTAACAACCATTCACACAGCACAAAGCAGTGGGGCAGACATAACCTAGTAAGGGAGAAAAAGCCTAGAAAGGTATTGGAGAGTTGAAGCATATTAATTTGGTTCTCTTGGATAACAGCCAAAAAAAAAAGAGGCAGATGATACAAACTGAACTAAACTGAAGAATGAGGCAAGAACAATCATCTTTGAAAAAGCTGAGTTGGAAGACCACCTGTACCTATGGTTCAGTCAAATACTGACAAGTCATGTGCTGAGAGAACAAGAAATCAAGACACCTTGAAGACACAGATGATTGAAAATCACCGAGTTCAAGTGGGGCTTAAAGAGTTTTGACAGGTAGTTTGGTCTCATAACACAAACAAGGCGTCATTTCCAGAAGGTAATGTCTAAATCCTTGTACATAAAAATTCCTAAATATATGATGTTTTCATACAAACAGTCGCACTACTTTTTTTTTAAGTTCTAGCCCCAAGTAGTTCTGAAATAATGATGAGATTACCGATTTCTCAAGAGTATTTTTCAATTAACTCAACAACTGAAATCCAATGCTATGAAGCTTTTCAAAAAGTAAATACACATGTTTATATTTATTTAATTAAAGTATGGAGGTGTATTTCAAGGCTCTGCCCCTGAAGATTCTAATTAAATTGAGACACCTGACATCCTATGATCACCAACGAGAGGAAGTGGAGCACAGCGAAAAGATACTTATGAAACCAAGTTTCCTCAAAGCCCCTGCATTTACTAGATTTTAGAGCTGTACGGATCACTTAAATACTTTGTTTTATAGGTAACAATACGAAAATTCACCACTCTCTGCAAGCAGGCAGGCAGATACAGCTCTACCTCCATTTGGCTCTTCAGATGCCTGGCCAACTCTGCTGGCTTCTAACCTGCCCAAGGTCTTCAGTTGGTGAACAGACAGTGTCTCAATCTAAATGAAGGTATTTCAAACCCCAAACTTAAAAACAAAATACCCCAGTCCGTAAACATCACTACTACATATCTTCCTCACTCCCCATTCTCGTCATTTGTATTCGTCTTCTCAAAGTAATTTATTAATACAGAAACATAGCACATCTATAGTCCATACTCAACTAGACAGATATACTCTCAGATTCATAATAATGGGGGAGAAGGAAAGTAACACATTCCTTTTTAGAATTTATTTTCCTTTAAGTGAGACAGGACAAAGGCAGATTACAGAACATTATACACTTACTGTCATGTATGAGTACTGAGGGACCATGTCAGGGTTCAGTGAGGATTAGTAGCTACAATACTCTTAATATTTGTACTCTAGTGTCAGTGTATAAGGTTCTAGGTTTTGCTTTCTTGCAATTCTTCTAAAGCCGCTCCTCACTACATAGGAATGCCAAGAGAAGAGGGAAAGGAACCATTTGTTTTCTTTTTCCCTATAAAGTTTAATTCTCAACTTAAGAAAAACTTCTCTGGGGGGGGGGGGAGAACAATGGAAAGAGTTACACTGTTCATCTTTCCAACTTGGTAAGTCTTCCCTGTGGGAAGAAGACAATTTGTTTCCAGATCTGTCCCTACTGCTGCAGCCCGCATGATGGCGATGTGGACATGGGAACCACAGCAGACCTTCGGCGTCACTGACGGCAAACTTACTCTCCCGCAGGGGTTAGCGTGGAAGGAAAACAAGCCGTTGGAGCTTGGTCAAAACAACAACAACAATAACAACAACAACAACAACTCTCTAACTTGGGCCACCAACCACCTTTAAAAAATTTGGGGGACCTACTTAAAACAAACAAAAAACAACCTCCTAGGGGAAAAAAAACTTCTTATATCATGTACTTATGCAAAGTACAGACCCCGAATCTGTTCTGCCTCCCAGCTGAGATTCAGCAGCCCTGGCTTTGGGCGGAGTAATTAAATGAGCACACTTTTAAATCCTCCTTGGTCTTCCCCCTACAACCTGCAGCTCCTAGGAAACTCCTCTCCTGCTACTGACACAGTTATGAATGTGCTCTAACTGACCATACTGTATATGAAGCCAATAAAATATTAGTATATCTATTTGTAGCTGATCACAAAAAAAAAAATAAAGCAAAGCTAAATAGTAGTTATAAATGCTGAAAAGACATTTGGTAAATTTCAATTTTCACTTCCAATCTAAAGAAAAAAGCTCAGTAAATTACAGAAATAACAAGGTATATTCATATTGTTATTAAAAATATTTATCTTAAGTAAACGGCCAATGTCACACCTAAGAGCACTTAACACACTGGAGACACCCCTATGGAAGTAAAGGGGACACGGATGCTCCTCAGCGCCACTAACACCGTTCTTTCATTTTTAGCCCAGTGACTTCCAAACAGGAAGCAGTGGTGGTGGGAGAGCCAATACAATAAAACAGGAAAAAGACAAAAAAAAATCTTTCCTGAGACACACAAATTACTTAAGTAGAGAGGTATATATGCTAATAGTTGAGATGACGTGATGTTATAATTGTATAACATACATTCTTCTAAATTGGATTTATAAATGCAAGTATATCAATTTATAAATAGATTGGTCAACTTGTTGTGGAACATTAGATCTGTATACTGCACGTAAAATATTTAAGTATAACAATACAACATGGTAAACAGATATGACTTCACTATGTATAAACATTTTGTTCTTCATTGGATACATATTAAAATGACATAGCTTTCTGCCCTGGACGGGTAGCTCAGTTAGTTACAGTGTTGTCCCAACAGGCCAAATTTGCAGGTTCGGTTCCGGACTAGAGTACACAGGAGAATCAAACAATGAATGCATCAATAAGTGGAACAACAAACTGCCATTTCTCTCTCTCTCCCTTCCTTTCTAAAACATGAATAAATTAATAAGTAATTTTTAAAATAATTATAAAATAAGAAGCTCTTTTGTTTCTTACACTGGTAAATGTTCAGGAAAAAATACTCAAATGAAGGACACTCATAATTTTTGACTCAGCAGTTCTATGTCTAAGAACATCAAAGATATAATCAAAATATTTATATTAAAAATGGCCATCACAGTGTTATAAATAACAGCATCAAAATGAAAGTAACATACACCAGCAGAAGATTGGCTTAGTAAATTTGAAATACTCATATATAATGGATTACTACTCAGGCATAAAAAATTGTTTTCATGACAGGGATACTCTGATGATGGGTATTAAATGTTAAAAGGTAACAAACCAATGTATTTGATTTATATACATGCACTACTGGAAGGAAAAAGACTACAAGGAAATACTTCAAATCATTTTCAGTAAAAAATGTCTGAGTATTAAGAATACATACAATATTTACTTCTGTATGCTTTATCTATTTTTCTAATTTCCTTCAATAAAAACATATTACTTTTTATATTCAGGAAATATTAATAACAATTATTATCTAAAAAAGATAGTCTAAAATTTAAGTTTCTGCTCTAAATTTTCTTAAGGGCTATAAACCCAGAATATGATTTTAATTCAAATGACATTTTTAATGAGAACAATGATGTGTATAAACGTTAAAACGCATCTGAAATAAATTTTTACTACAATAATCACATTCTTATAAGAAGCACTGCAGAGTCAGCAGGCAGTGAAGTTAAGTAACAGCGTATGTTTCATAACAAACACAGAGGGGTAAAAAAAGTACAAAAAGATCAATGAAGAGTCAAAGATTATCAATCCAGAGAGATACCTTTTGGACTTGCCTTTTACTCTTGGTTTTGATATACCTCGTATACAAAATTCACATAGTTTATTACACAGTAATTTTACGTTTTACTCTGCGGCCTCTTCTACAGATATATTTATATAAACATGTACATGTGTTTATATAAACAAGAATTAAATTATTTATAAACAATCTTTACTATTAAAAGCAAAGAAACAAGGACTTGAAGACTTTAAATACAACTTTGAAGAAACTGACTCTTGACTAATAATCCATGTAGTTATTATCTGTATTTGTAAAATGGCCCTTACATTATTTTAGTCCTCAATAGACACTGAACTATACATATCAAACCCAGACATACAAAACATTACTTAGGCATATTTAACTTGGGAATAAATTTAGGAAAAAAAAAGAAAATTAACATCTAAATTAATTATAGTTATTAGCTTTAAGTGAATTCATTTTATAAAAGTTAAACTTACCAAACTTAGTAAGAATAAACACAGGTCCTTACTCATCAAACTGAAGGAACATCAGGACAGAGGAGTACAGCCCCCAAATTATTGTTTTTTACTAATCATACCATTTTCTGACAGGCGGTTACCAAATGCAATACAAGAACATAGTGCCAAGCATGAGACTTGGCATTTAAGACTATGAATCTGTTTAAATACTGACACAATACAGCTATGCACAAAAACAAACTCTCTTAAGATGATTAAGATTCTGAACAGGGGATGCCCTCTGCACCCAGAGCGTGTGGGACTTGGGTGACCCCGGAGACCAGGCAGCCATGAGGACCTGTGTCCCTAACACACAACACTTCAATACCTTCTTCTCCCTTTTAGTATTGTGTTCCCTTTAATACGTAAAGAGGAAAACCTCAATTAAGTGACAAGAGCCTTTTAATAATCAACATCCCTTAATTTACTTTTGATAATGTATTTATCAATGAGGCTGTTTCTAGGGCAAACCAATACAAATGGGAAGCTATCAAGAGGCTCATTTAAATTATCAACAGGGAACAGCAGGCAGCAAATATTCAAACCCCCAAATTTTGAGTCATCATTTCTTATTCTGTGATTCAACACACCAATTCTGCATAAATGATTGACATTGCAAGAAGGATTCTGTCTGAAATTGATGTAGAAGGAAAAGAGAAGGTGGACAGACATGAAGGCAAGGTGTCTGATTACACTAATTACACGAATATCGGTACTTACGTATCATACCTCTGCAGTGGGGTCACTTTGTTCTTATTCTTATCAACTGAACCCGTAGATAGTTGAAGAAAATTGGGGTTTAATTTATATAATTCTTGTAGTAGCTTCTGTTCATATTCTTGGTGTTTACCTGCCTAAATGAAAGAAGAAATTAAAACTGCAGTGAGGTTTCACAAAATGCCTGGTATAAAATATTGAATTACTTTCTGAATTATTAAAGATATCCTACATAAAACATGTCAGGGTTTTTTCATGTGACAGAAACCCACGAGGAGGATATCACAGAACTACTTCTAGACCAATGAACATTCTTCCAACAAAACAACTATACATGTGCATATATATATATATATATATATATATATATATTCCATTTATTAAGGCATTTCACCAACCACTTTATTGTGTAGAAAAGTATACTGAGACAATATTTTTGCTAGCTCAAAAAAACCTGCTTTTAAGTACCATCTTCATATAAAAATTATCATATGCCATTACTAAATTTTCTTAAGATCAATGAAAATCAATTTCTTTTTCTAGATTAAAATTTTTACGTTTCCATTTAACATTTAATGTATTTTAAGCTCTAAACCTGGGAGTGTCAATTTACTGCTAGTCACTTTGTTTTTGTAAATAAAGTTTTATTAGAACAGTCACATTCGTTTATGAACAATCATTCACAAATTGTCTGAGGTAGCTTTCATGTTACAACAGCAGTTGAGTAACTGCTGCAGAGACCATGTGGCCCAAAAAGCCTAAAATATTTACTAACTGGCCCTTTACAAAAAAAGTCTGGCAATCCCTGCTGTATACACAACAAAGAGAATTCTGCATTTACTGTAGTTAGCAGTTATATATCAAAAGTCAATGTCACAAATGTTATGGGAGAAATTAAGCAAAGACTGACTGTGGAAATTAGTCATAAGCAGAAATAAACTGATGCAATCACTCTGCATAACTTCTTTCTGTACGAATATCATGACTAGAATGGCAGTTTACTTACCTTCAGGACTGCTAGTTGTTTTAAAAGTGTGTCTAAATAGATGCGTTGGGAATCCGAAACCAAAACAGAACAGCTCAAAACGAAACAATAAAAACGAGCAAGAACAGGGCCCTATCATCTCATCTGGCACAACTGTCGCACACACGGCACAGTGCATCGTTCACAGTTCAGAGGGGGCTCTTGCCCATTTCAACTGGGTCTCTGAGAAGTTCACAGGGCACTGAATTTTGAGTTATACAGTAACAAAAAAAATAATCTGATTTTTGCCATGATATAATTTACTCCAATTTTTCAATTTTGAGAAAATATTTTAACAAAGAAACCCCTTTACAAAGTAAATTTAAACTCAGGTCAAAGAAAGCAAAATGAATTTCAGTCAACAATATGAAATAAAATTTTAATTACTAAGAAAAATTATAATTGGATGTGGGTTCTACAACTTTAACACATGAAAAGCCTTGAAAATTCTTTCTGTAATCAATACTTCAACAGTTATTATGGCTTTCATTAGCCACAAAGAGCTCAAGCTGATAATCGAATAATTCTATAGGGGCAGATCCTAAAACAGGTTAAATCCCATTATAAATTAAGTTCTAATGAACTGTCCATCCATTTTCTGTAAAAAAAAAATTCCCCAATTTTTCAATTACAGTTAACATACAATATTATAATAGTTTCAGGTGTCATCCATTTTCTTTTACTGTCCAATACTACTTAAAAATGAGGTAAACTGCAGCTCAGAAATTCTTCAACAGAGATTTTCATTAACAGTATCTGAGTAAACATACTCCCCGCCAGTCAAAATTCAGTTTGAAATTGTTAAAATTTCATCCAAGAAAGCTTTGTGGAAGGAAGGAAGGGAGGGAGGGAGGAAGGAAGGGAGGGGGGGAGGGAGGGAGGGAGGAAAAAGAAAAAGGAGAAAAGGGAAGGGAAAAGAAGGAGAAGAGTGAGGGAAGGGGAGGGGAAGGGGAAGGGAAGGAAAAAATAAATCAAAAGCACTTAGTGGATAACTAACAAATAAGTCATCCAACAATGATCATATTTTAACACTGCTTTTGGATCATAAAGACAACAATGTCAAGAAACTGTGATGTATTTATTATAATGGGATGTAATCTGTAATATCTCAAGGTCAAAAAAGGTATTATTTCATTTTGTTTAATAATCTGCTTTTAAAGGAGCCCCTGCTAGACTTTCTCTAGTTTGACCTGGAGAATAAAAGGTAGTAATCAATGCCCCCCACCTTCTAAATGAGAGGGATTCCTGCAAAAGTCCACAGCAACAATCTGAAGTCCTCATCTACAATAGGAAAGGACAGCATTGTGCTTTGGTATAATCCTCATTTAATATGCCGTATGGTCAACATTTTTACTTGTACAGACATATTTATACTACAAATTGAAAGGAGACAGACAGGAGAAGAGGAAATGTAAAAATGAACATAAAATAATAAGCCTTCGATTTACGATTTACAGGACCTTTCAAGGGGAGAATCACTTCATTAAAATGTGAGTTTACCAGCAACATCTGATGAAATATTACTTTCTAGCATGCTCCATAAAGAGTAGAGGTTGGCAGGGGTGTGGGGAACAAAACTCATAACTTTACTATCGCACTTAGCTGTCATTTTGCTGACATTCCCCTTAAAGTAGTGTATTTCCCAAAATGCTTTCCTCAGTCAATGAAGTTCCAACTGTACAGCCCCATCTTAGGTGTGCATTAGCATATTTAAGGCTCTGGGAAGTCCTGTTGGAAAGAAACCTATTTATCTTCATTCATCTAGCATTTTCAAACTTAGTGAACCAAAGACCTAGTCTTATTATAACAAGAGCCTGCAGAACTGACATTCCATGGAACACTGTTTAGAAGATGCTACTTTAAAAGTAATGCCAGTTTACAAAAATGAAATCCCTAATTTATTAGCTATTTTAACTTGTAAACAGGAGTCCTCCCCTTTTTCTGCAAATGTGAGAATTCATATCACTTTACTACCTGCATTTCCTCTTTTGTGAAACTGGCCGCCTCGTCCCCCAATTCATGTAGATACATGCAGTCAGGCTTCGGACACTGCATATTCTTTAAGAAGTAACTGCAGTATTTTGTTGTACCTAGAGATGCCTGCGGGGTGAAATGACACGACAATGAGAATTTCCACATTTTGTGCTTTCACTTCACCTAAAATGAGACACGGACACAACAAAACAACGAGTATGGCTGTGAGTACTAGAGAAATAAACCGTTACTAGCAAGACTTATTAAAGATGATGCTCATTTGAGAAAACTGAAAAACGAGTCTCAGTCTATGGTTTCTAGGACTTGAACATCCAAATGCTCTTCCCTTGTGATCATATGAGACAAAATTTGTTCCATATTGTAAGTAGTTAGGCACATAAGAAAGCAACTTCCTTTTTCTAATTATGCCATTCTTCCTCCATTTACATAAAGCTCGCTTGGTGGGACCCCTTCATTCAAACCTGCACTGATCAATGTCAAAATATTTCAGGAACAACAAATCAGAACCAATATCTATTTCTAACAAGAATAATAGATTGATTTTTATAGCATAAAATGTGTAAATATAGAAGATTTTAAATGATTATTCCCCCCTTAATGAAAGTGTGTATTCACACCTGACAAAATAGGACCCTACATAAGTCAGCAACAGACTAATCATCTGTCATAGGTTGGTATGGGTGCCTAAAAAGCAATCTTCAAAAAGACTCCCTTCAAAAGCAACATGTAACTTCCAGGAGGGGTGACTCGGCCTCCCTCCCCTCAGCACCCGCTATGGAAACCTGTGTCTTCCCTGAATTCACAGTGGTAAGACCCCTGAATTCCTTGTACATTTACTCCCTCCTGCCTACCCCTCCCAGCAGCAGGTCTTTGTTTCTGTCCCCCTTTCTGATCCATGTGCATCACATTATGTGAAACATCATCTGCCTGAAAATAGACCTTGTGTGGATTATCGGAGGGAAAATATATAAATACTGGGTACTCCTCTACTTACTGCACTTTCCCTTCCCCTTTAAAAAAGCCAGGAGGACCGCGTTACCTTAAGCGTTCTGCCGTCTACCACCACATTGTTGACACACTGTATGGCTCTGAGAGCATCTTCTGACCGGATGTAGGTGACGTAAGCACTGGCACTGGGACCCTAAAGTGAAAACGTGCTGTTATTATAGTTGCAAATTCAGCAAAACATTTAAAAAGACTTCTCTTGCTACTTGCCTAGGAAATTCTAAAAGCACTTACTACTACTATCATTAATAATAATCACAATAATTAGAAGTTGTAGTAGCTTTAATTAAACCACAGACTAACTCATTTTAAATCAATCATACTTAATAAATTTTATCTGTTTTTCAGTAGACTAAAATAAGTATGAATGAAATATCTTGAGAATGGCAGTTATTCTTTTAAAGTCATTTGACAAGCTCATCAAGGTTACAAAAGGCAAGCTTTGAAAATTAGATTTTAAAAGGTAAGATCTGAAGACACTGTGTCAAATTATATTCTCCCCCAAAATAAATAAATGCACTTTGTAAGAATAGTCTATCTGCTAATACTAGTGTGACAAAGATGCTCTACTGTAAGTATCCAATATCTGAAAATATTAACTAGAAATCATTATCTATTAGACTAATTAATAATAGATTCAACTTCACCTCCCCTTCAAACCATCACTAAATTTTTGTTTCCTATTTCCCTCTTACAACTATCAATTCACCATTAAGTCCTGGAAGAGTCCAAGGAACACCAAAAATATCCCCACCCCACTGACAGAGGTCGCTATGCTACTTAAGTCCTTGACCCTAAAGCTCTCTAATCACAGAAAATAAATTTTCCTTCTGAACAGCCCACGTCCAACCCAGACCATAGGGAGGCAAAGCAAAAACCCCTATAACTTGTTACCTGTGAGCCTGCATATGATGTGCTGTTGTTGATGACAACTTTATGTATTTTACCAAACTTCCCAAAATATTCTGGTCGTTTTAAAACCTATAAAAGAAGAAGAAATAAGATACAAACTGCCCCATTTGCATCAACTTTATCCTTTTCAGTGAAAACAAAATAACTTCTATCGTTTTCAAGTCAATGTGACTATTTTCCTAGTTACACTCTGTGTGGTTGCCCAGCACAAAGTCATCAGCAAAGCCTAACAGCTGTTTTTAGTGACCCGCGAATAGAGACTGAGACTCACTGCATTTGGAATTTTCTACTATATTCTAATTTCTGCACCAAAACTCTATGGGATCTTATGCTTACAATATTCTTAAACACAAAACAGATCAAATATCCTGACCATATTTTCATTAATAAATAATCCCTGTAAGAAATTACTTCTCAAAATGATGACCAAGATTATGTATTAAAGACAGAAATAAAAATTCAAAGCCCTAAGTAGAAACAGTCCTCACTCATAAATCTATTGCTCAGTCTCCACTACAGGCGGGCACCGAGTGCACACCTGAGCACCATGTGGTGAGTGCGAATTCATGTGATCCTGAAGAGCAAGCAGTCAGTGTTAAAAAAGAAGAAGAAGCTACGCAGGTAGAAATGTGTGTGATTAACAGTTAGTGAGGCCTTCCCCACCCTACCCCCAGAGCATGCTTAATGAATAATACAGAATAAAGAAGTATTTTAACAATCTATTGTATATATTAAAGCATTGTTTATGAACTACAAATTCCAAATATAGTAAGAGAATGCTCCTCATTTATCAATGCTTTATGATCTATCACTTTATTTGTGTATAAATATTTATTTAGTTTCCTTATTGTCAATAGATATTACCATTTTTTCAACTCTGTAAATTTTTTTTTTTACCTCTCTATTCCTGGTAAATAATGTATGTGAAACATACAGATGTGAAACAAACATACACTCCTTACTCTATTAAGTTACTTTTCCATGGTTACTTCCCCTCATACTTGTGGATCACCTTATGTGCTCATTTAGCTTCTCTTAAAAACTTGCTAATTGTGTGTGAGGATATTATAAAGTGTTTTGGGAAGAATACTCTGCATACACTTGACAGGTATACGCAGAAAGCTTCCTTTGAAAGAGAGCCTGCTGTTTGGAGAGATTGTAGGAACAGTAGGTCTACAGGTAAATTTTAGAAAAAGAGCCCTGGCTGGGTGGCTCAGTTGGCTGGAGCATTATCCCGTACACCATGGGTCAGATCCCTGGTTAGGTCAAATGCCTACACTGCAGGTTCAATCCCCAGCGGAGGCACATATGGGAGGCAACAGATCAATGTGTGTGTCTCTCTCTCTCCCTTCCTCTCTCAAATCAATAAACTTATCCTCAGGTGAGGATTTAAGGGAAATTTTAGGAAAAGAACAGAATGTATGTAATTTTGACGAAGTTGCAAATTATGGTAGAGGTGTTTGTGTTAAGGTACTTACTGGCAAATTATCCAAGTTTAGGTATGTTCTGTATTAGGCAGAATGAAAGCTTTGTGAAATAGTCTATGACCGGAGTATTATTAATTCTTAACAGTTTGCAACTCAATACACAGTTGACCCCCAAACAAAGTGGTTTGAATTGTGTAGGTCAACTTATATACAATTTTTTTTCAGTAAATATATTGAAAAAAATTTTGGAGATTAGCAACAATCTGAAAAAATCTCACAGATAAACTATGTAGCCTAGAAATATAAAAAAAAATATTAAGACCTGGCTGGTGTAGCTCAGTGGATTCAGCGCGGGCTGCAAACCAAAGGGTCGCTGGTTCGATTCCCAGTCAGGGCACATGCCTAGGTTGCAGGTCAGGTCCCCAGTGGGGGCCTCATGAGAGGCAACCACACACTGATATTTCTCTAACTCTCTTTCTCCTTCCCTTCCCCTCTTTCTAAAAATAAATAAATAAAATCTTTAAAAAATTAAGAGTTAGGTATACCATGAATAAATAAAACATATGTAGATACCAATTTATTTTATTATTTCCTACCATAAAATATACACAAATCTAATGTAAAAACTTTAACATTTTCAAAACTTACACAAACACAGACATACATAGTACTATACAGGTGGAAGATGCAATATTAAATCCAAACTGCATAAAATTAACTGCAGTATATACTGTGCTACTGTAATAATGTCAGAGTCACCTCCTGTTGCTACTGCAAACAGCTCAAGTATTACAAGTATCTGCTTAATATGCCATGTGATGCTAATCATCTCCATGTGAACAGCTGTCTTGCGGTACACTGGGTAGGTAGCACAGTACAAAGTGAACTCTCAAGGTTCTCGTGTATTCTTGCTGCATTTAGTGCAATACCATAAACCTCAGGTAACACCAGGGCACCCATATGAAGTGTCACTAGAGATGCTGGAAGTGTTCCCAAGAAGCAAAGTCATGACATTACGAGAAAAGGCTGAATGGCTTGATGTGTCTCACAGAGTGAAGAATGCAGCAGCGGAAGCTGCCATTTTGAGATAAATTAATCCACAGTTAAGAACCATGTAAAAAAAGGAAATCTGTGAAGCCCTTGCTGCAGCTACAACAGCATTTGTGAAAACCTGGGACTTCTGAAAAATACCTTTTTGTCGCATATTAAAAATGCACCTTTTATGGGAGTACAGGATTGCTATAAGAAAGGCATACCTATAGACTCTAATATGATTCAAGAAAAATGCAAAGTCGTTATATGACAAATTAAAGCAAAAGGAAGGTGAATAAGATAAAGAATTTAATGCCAACAAAGGATGGTTTGATAATTTTAGAAAGAGGTTTGGCTTAAAAAAATGTCAAGATAATAGAAGCAGCTTCTGCCAACCAAAAAGCAGGAGACAAATTCCCAGACGCCATTAATAAAATCACGAGGAGGAAGGATATCCGCCTGAACAGGATTTTAATATAGACAATAGTGCCCTATCTGGGAAAAAATATGCCACGACAGACATTTATTAGTAAAGCAGAGAGGTGAGCACCAGGATTTAAGGTAGGACGTGAAAGGCTAACTGCACTGTTTTATACAAAGTCAGTTGGATCTATTATTAAGAATGCTTTTATCTTAAAAAACCGCTCACCCCTGAACCTTGAAGAAAAAAGATAAACACCAGCTGCCATTCACTTAGTTGTGGTGACAAGTGACAAGGCCTGAACTACAAGAACCCCTTTTCTGGACTGGTTCCACTGGTGCTTTGTCCCTGAAGTCAGGAAGTACTGTACCTTGCCTGTGAGGGACTGCCTTTTAAAGTTCTTTGATACTGAACAATGTCCCTGGCCACCCAGAACCCTATCAGTTGAACAATGAAGACGTCAAAGTGGTCTACTTGCCTGCAAGCACAATGTCCCTTAACTCATCCTCTAGATCAGGAGACACAAGGATCTTTAAGGGTCATCACACATAGGGCTCGCTGGAAAGGGCTGCCAACGCTGTGGAAGGGGACCCTGATAGAGAGCGTATCACGAGAGGCTGGAAGGTCACCCCACTGACGATGCATCGCTGTTGTAGAAACAGCTGTAGAGGCATCAAACCTGAAACAATAACTTCCTGCTGGAAAAAAACTGCCTAGATGTCGTACATGACTGCGCGGGTTTTATGACAGCGCTGATGAAGGAACTCATTAAAGAGGTTGTGGATATGGCAAAAAAGGTGAGGGGAGAGGGCTTCAAGATATGGACCTTGAAGAAATTCACCAGCTATCAGAAGAATTAACATAGACGACCTGCTGGAGACTAGTTAGAATGCAGGTTTGGGTGCAGCAGTTCTGAGGCAGGGCCTGAGAGTACCCATCAATAAACTGCCAGGAGATGGTGATGCTACCGGCCCTTAAGTAGCAAGGTTCTAGAGTAGCAGTACCCAAGAATTTGTAATTAGAAAGTGTTCTTATGAGGACTTTTATTTCTCCTTTACATTTTTTGCAAATTACCTATGTAGACAGATTATATTATGAAGAGAGCATTTTGTGAAAGTGAAAAGGGTACTAGTTTTTAAAAAGTGGGTGCTATGTCTGATAAGGTTAAAAACCACTGAATTATGAAAAGTTTCTGGCCAAATTTTGGGTATAGCACCTTTATAACAATGTAAGATTTGCATATAATTACACTGACCGGTCACACTGCAGCCAGAATGACATTTTCAAAGTACAAACCCAGCCATGTCACTCTGTTCTTAAGAACATTAAAAGCTTCCCAGTGCCTTGAAGATCAAGTGCAAACTCCTTAACATGGTTAGAAAGCCCTTTATAATCCATTATCACTCACCTCACCAGCCTCCTCTCTCACTGCACTCTTACCAGCCAAACAAATCACTTGCAGACCAGGCTCTCTCTCATCTAGAAGCATCTGTATAGTTCCTATGCCAGAAGTACTTCACCGGAAAAACAGCATAGGGATACACACCTCCCGCCTAAAGGTCAGGTGCTACCTCTTGTGCCTCCACAGCGTACACCACTTCTCATATAGCACCGTGACTTTTTTAAACAGGCAGGCACTACCATCTCATGGGTTTGCGTTCAGCACCCTACAGAGTGCCTGGAACACTTTAGGTACTCAATAAATGTCTACTGAAAAAGTAAACTATCTTTGCAGTAAACAAAAAGAATTACATGGACACAGAATACCAGCAGGCCTCGGTGTATCAGCAAATGGCCTCTGGCCAAGAAGAAATGGCCTGCCCCAGTAAGAGAAATTCAAATAATTTAAACTTAAACTTTTTATATTAAGTCAAACACTACAGAGTCTGCCTGAAGATAACAGTCAACTAGCAAAATATTATTGGAGTGAATAAAGAAAGTATGGGGAGTAGGCTGAGCGTGCTGCTTATCAACATTTCATCCATATATTCAATGTTAAATATTTACTTCACAGTGAGCCACGTTTCATACTAACAGAGAATACAAAAGGTTATGGGCAGAATTATAAGTGCCCGACAGCATACCTAATATGTGAGTATCTTCTTCAGAACCACAGTCAAGTGTTCATGAACATGATGACAGAGAAAATCAAACAGTAAGCAGATGGAAGCATGGATGGATAAACAGATGATGGATGGATGCATAAATGGATGCATGGCAGAACAATCTTTAGTGTAAAATACACTGAAACAGGAGCCTTAGGATAGGGTATGTGGGGGTGTGGCTGGGAGGTTTTCCTAAGTCTGGCTATGCTATAAAATAGCTGTGTGATCACACACAAGCCACTCAACTTCCCCATACCTCCATTTCTCATTTGTAAATGAAATGGCTGTGTCTTCAATGTCTTTTAGTTCCTCTAACAATCTGCTCTCTCAGGCCACCACGTGGCTGGGACTCACCTGCCCTTATCTGCTGCCTAACCAATCTCTAATTCTGAATCATCTTCTCCTCAGAGAAGCTTTCTGTGGCCCTCTATACATTAAACTCCCCATTATTATGTGTTCACAAATAGGCCTGCAGTTCCCTGTTATCAATGCTCAGTTCTTATAATTTAAGAACTTATAAGTTCTTAAATTTTGTCTTCCCCACGAATCCATAAGCTTGTCAAGGGATAAGACTGTGACTGGCTTGCTAAATTACTTTATCCCCAACACCAAAATACCGAACACATGGATAAGTATTCAGAAGTTAATTTACCAAGTGAATAAATTAGGTTCCAACAAATCTGAAATTTTATAACTTAAGAAGATGATCATTACCTCTAATCATTATCTCTAATTACTATATAGCTTTTTTTACCAATATACCAGATAGCTTTTTTACCTCTAATTACCAATAGCTTTTCTATTGTTCAATAAATGATATATTTGACAATCTTTGTATGAAATTTTCTGGTATACAAAAATATTTTCAAAATAAGTTTTAAATTTTCCTAAACTCTCCTGTTTTGTTAATCACCCAAAGATAAGTAAATAATAAGGATCTCCTTTGACTTGAAAGTTACACTAACAATTTGAAATTTTGAGTTTTCTTATGAAATCAACTAAGTCTTCTGAACGGAAAAGACTGTATAGACAAACTAAGACAAGTTTTAAAGGTATTATTATTTAGAAGTGGTAGGATCTAATAAATAAAACACCGGTCTCTGGTCTTCCTCTACTTTAAGAGAAATAAGAGAAAAACCAACACTTAGAAAATTCATTGTCCTGTTACCAAGCAACAATTATTTTAAAGCATAAACTAGTAAGGTAGTTTTTAATGTACACTGAAACTCCTCTTAAACTGTTCTTTCTCACTGGTCACCACCTAGATTAATTTCTTTCTGCATATTACTTCTTCCGATTAGTCATTCTGGAGTTATGTCATTAATGGAAGTAAGAAATTTCTGTAAGCGCAGTGATCCTCCCTTATCTGCACCTAGTTTCCCTTCAGCTTCAGATACCCCCGGTGAACTGTGGTCCGAAAATACTAAATTTCCCCAGCCACTGACATCATCTGCTTCTGACATCCAACCATCGACATCAACAAGATTCAGTGATCCAGAACCACCTGAAGCAGATGATGTTCCTTCTGACGTGTCATCCAAACGTCAATAGTAGTCTACTGCCTCCTCATTCACCTCACTTGGCCTCATCACGTACGCATTTCACCACCTCGCATCTCTCATTTGCATTTGGACAAATGCAGGTATAGAGTCTAATCAATAAGATTAGGAATGAAAGAAGGCATGTAAATAAACTTGCAGTGCAAGAGTGTCCTCTGGTTAGGGAAAAAAGGCAGAACTGAATGACAGACAGATAGACAGACAGACAGACAGGCAGGCAGGTAGACAGATAGGCAGATAGATAAAGGGAGCTGCAGACAGAGGAAGTGATGAAACGCTGTGGCGGTGGTCAGGGAAACAGTCATGGGTGAAGTCACACTGCGACTGCCTGGGGAGTTGGGTACTAGCTTAGGAAAAGGAAGAGCTGGCTGCCGAGGATGAATCATAGGTCTAAAATGAGCTCTCTCCTTAACATCTCTTACTGAGGAAGTGTTTTCCTGCATGCACTCCAGATCCACCTTTCGGCTTTAGAATGAACCTGGTCTGAAGATCACGTAGCCCACAAATGCCAGCATCCTGGACCTAGGTCCTAGTAGTTCCTGAGTTGCCACTGTATTTCTTGTCAATGATAGAGCCTTCTTAGGAAAATCTCCCTGACTTTCTCCTCCACTGATTGGAAGCCCTTCCTAACCTCGATACACAGTAATTTCATCATCAACAAATATTTATTATTCTCTCAAATTGAATTTTATCCAATCAAAGTACAGACTCCTTCAAGGGACTTTTCCTCCTCCTGGGGTCTTTAGCTTACTTAGCCAAGTCTGATGATGCCCACCTTCCTAGGCATAGTCACTACAGCCCTCCCCCTGACTGGCACCATGATGAGCATTACTTCAAAAACTTCTCAAAGCGCAGATTCCCCAAATCCAGCTCTCTCCTACTGAAGTAAACACTCTGGCTGTCAATCAGCTTCTATCTGCCTTTCCATTAATCTAGTCAGCACTTCCTGGTATATCAGAAACTAAAAATTAGCAGACGTGCATTCAAAAGCATCAAAACAAGTTATGAGTTCAACATTGCCCTAATAAGGCTCATGGTGGAAGGAGAGAAAAGTGATAAGCAAAAGGGTTAAGATCTTCCCTGTCCCCAAACAAATGACAAAGAACCTGGTCCATTATTTCCCTTCATCAAATTCTCCCTCTTTCCTGAAAATTGGCTTGACATGAATGAGTAAAGAATGCTGATACACTAGATCAGTTCTATAACTCTTCTGTGAGCACTACTACTTGGGCAGGACTTAAAAGAATACAGATCTTTAACAGGGGCATGTAACTGCATCTCCACTGTTGTCTTTCTATAGCTACAGAAAGAAAACTAACAGCAAACAAAACCATTATCCCAGTTCCAGATTATCAGCACTAGAGGGGACTTTAGAGATATATTGCAGTTCCACCACCCAGTTTTACAAGTGAAGAAAACAAGACCAAGAAAGATTAAAACACTTGCCTAAGATCACAACTGGTTACTGGTTTCTTAGTGATTATTAAAAAATCATTTCCCATTTCCTCCTGAGTCTCAACATTTTCTGTGGAATCCTACAGTTGGGCAGGGTCAGCGGTTATTCTCAAATAAGAGAAACAGAAAGAAAAAATGTCATGTTGAGAAAGAAAATACAAAAGGACTTACCTCTGGGTCTGCTAGACGCTGAGACAGACCTACAACAAAGACGAGGTTTTTTTGTACAACACGTACACTAGCCAAATGTTTGCGATTTTCTGATATTTTCTGTTTTCTTTCATTTTGTTTCTGTTTTTTCTCATTCTTTATCCTTTGTAATTCTTCCTGGGAGAGTGGTTTATAAACTGCTGGGTCTTCTGGATATGGCTTTAAGCATAAAACAAACAGAGAAGTTAACATTAAATAAATAGGAAAACTATATGAATAACAATTATTAAATTTTGGATGATGGATATGTGGTTGTTATACCTCCAATTTTCTGAATATTTTAATTACCTAGAATATCTTTATTTAATAAAAGTGAAATGTTAAGTAAAATAGTTATTTACATACTTTTTTAGAGCTTAGCACAAAGCACTTTTAGTGCTAAAACTTAAACCACCACCAAAGGCTCTAAAATTTAAAAAAAAAACAAAACAATCTTGGGATCCCTGGGGTGCCTAGCACACAGTTTACAAGAAAATTAAAATCCTACTGTGCTGTGTAAGAGGTTTATGTATTATAATAAGCATATTTAATGAAAACCTGCTATATATTAGAAAATTAATGTATTGTTTTCAACATATTTCCAGTCAAAGAAAGAGAAGGGGAACTAGAATACATAGAAACTCTGGTTCAGGAGTTTGAATTTAGTTTCAACACTCACTAGCCATGTGGTTTTAGGTAATTTAATCACACTCTATACCTCAGTATCTTCACAAGTAAAATAAAAATAATATGAAACACTGGTCTAAAAAATAAAATAACCCTTATAAAACAATTATTATATGAGTGGCACACAATAATCCTCAATAAACATAATCAGTTATGCTATTATAATTTTTTCCTTTCTCATCATTACAATATTGGTTTTACTACTGCCAATGCCAAGGTTACAAGGCCTGAATAAGAACTGTGGACTCACACCGCCTGGCTTTGAGTCCTGGCTCTATCTTTCGCTCTAAGAGACCATATCTAAGTTATGTGACCCACCTGCTTTAGTTTTTTCTCTTTGGTAAAATGGGAGAATTGGGTTGGCCAAGAGTTCTTGTGGGTTTTTCCGTAAAATAAAAGACACGTTTTTCATTTTCACCAATAACTTTATTGACTTGGATATTTTGAGTATGTCAGCTATATCCTGTGTGGTATATATAACGTTGATTGTTCTCAATTAATGTCTCCATTTGATTGCTATCACTTCAACTGGTCTGCCTGGCCACAGAGTATTGTCCAGCGAGGTATCTCCAGCACAAAACTTTGCAAACCACTTTGACAGGTTCACTCAGTGACAGCACCTTCTCCATACACTGCATAAATCTTTCTTTGCCTTTTAGTTGCGTTTTTACCTTTCTTGAAATAATATAATATTAATATGCCAAAAATGTTGTATACTTTCTTCCATCTTCAATAATAAAGTGGCTACACAAAAATTTACCAATGTTGGTAAGTTTCTTTTTAAATATAAGCTGATATGACAGCTGTCACAATACAAGCTAACAAAATTGTTTCAAGTGAAGTTAAAGACAATTAAGTACTACTAGATCCATCTTATAGAAAAAAACCAAAGGAACTTTTTTGCCAATCCAATACTTTATTCAGAGGGCTGCTGTGAGTTTAAAAAGATAAATACATTTATGAAATGATTAAAACTGTGTCTTGCACATTAGCATTCAATAAGTCAGTTATTACTACTACTACAAAGAGTTAATAATAAATGGAAGATGGGGCACATTAAACATCTAAAACTGGATATGAAGAGATCCCCAAAACAGAAACCACAACTGGTTGGGAAATCAGGCCTATCAGAATCCAGGAGTGGGGACCAACAGAACAATGCCATTGAGAAAAACCAGTGTAAACAAGGTACCTTACAGGAAATATCTTGGAGATCAAACCCTTGTCTGAGGTATCACTGGCAAATATGCTTTCCCATACAGTTGGTTCTCTGTTCATTTTAATGCTGTACAGAAGCTTTTTATTTTGATGAGATCCCATCTGTTTATTCTTTTCTTTTATGTCTCTTGCTGTAGGGACATATCAGTGAAAATATTGCTACATGGAATATCTGAGATTTTCCTGCCTATGTTCTCCTGTAGGACTTTTATGGTGTCCCGACTTATATTTAAGTCTTTTATCTACCTTGAATCTATTTTTGTGTATGGTATAAGCTGGTGATCGAGTTTCATTTTTTGCATGCAGCTGTCCAGCTCTCCCAACACCATTTGCTGAAGAGGTTATCTTTACTCCATTTTATGCTTCTGCCCCCTTTTGTCAAATACTGATTGACCACAGACACTAGGGTTTATTTCTGGGCTCTCTATTTTCTTCCATTAGTCTATGTGTCTGTTCTTATTCAGTACCAGGTCGTTTTGATTAAAGTGGCCTTGTAATACAGTTTGGTATCAGGTATTGTGGTCCCTCTTACTTTGTTCTGCTTTCTCAAAATTGCTGCAGCTGTTTGGGGTCATTTACGGTTCCATATAATTTTTGAAATGTTTGTTCTATACCTGTGAAATATGCCATTGGTACTTTAATAGGTATTGCATTGAATCTATAGATTTCTTTGGGTAGTATGGACATTTTGAGGATGCTGATTCTTCCCATCCATGAACACAGTATATGTTTCCATTTGTTTGTGTCTTCCTTAATTTCTTTCTTCAGTATTGTGTAGTTTTCTAAGTACAGGTCTTTTACCTCTCCTTGGTTAGGTTTATTCCTAGTTATTTTATTTTTCTTGTTGCTATATCAAATGGGATTCTTTTCCTGATTTCTGTTTCTGCTATTTCATTGTTGGTGTACAAAAATGCCTTTGATTTTCTGAATACTGACTTTGTATCCCCCTGCTTTGCCAAATCGATTTATTAGGTTGAGCAGTTTTTTGGTGGAGTCTATAGGATTTTCTTTGTACACTATCATGTCATCTGCAAACAGATGAGTTTTGCTTCCTCTTGTCCAATGTGGATGCCTTTCATTTCTTTTTCTTGTCTGATTGCTGTGGATAGGACTCCCAAAACTATGTTAAATAGAAGTGGTGTAAGTGGACAACCTTAACTTGTTCTTGATCTTACTGGGGAAAGCTTTTAATTTTTGCCCACATAGTGTGATGTTGGTTGTAGGTCTCTCATATATGGCCTTTATTAGGTTGAGGAATGCTCCCTCTACTCCCATTTTGCTGAGTGTTTTAATCATAAATGGGTGCTGTACCTTATCAATGCTTTTTCCACATCTATTGATATGATCATGTGATTTTTGTCTTTCCTATGGTTTACGTGATGTATTATGTTTACTGATTTGTGAATACTGTACTATCCTTGCATCCTTTTAAAATATATAAAGAACTCATATGACTCCACCCTAGGAAGACGAAAAACCCAATTAAAAAATGGGCAAAGGATCTGAACAGACACTTCTCCGGGGAGGACATATTCAAAGGGTCCAGAGACATAAAAAAAGATCCTCGGTCAGCATCACTAGCCATTGGAGAGATGCAAATTAAAGCCATAATGAAACACCACTTCACACTGGTCAGAATAACCATCATAAAAAAAATCAATAAACAAGAAGTTGAAGAGGATGTGGAGAAAAGGGAACCTTAGTGCACTGTTGGTGGGAATGCAGACTGGTGTAGCCACTGTGGAAAACAATATGGAATTTCCTCAGAAAACTAAAAATGGAACTGTCTTCTGACCCAGCAATTCGACTGCTGAGATTATATCCTAAGAACCCTGAAACACCAATCCAAAAAAACCTATGCACCCCAATGTTCACAGCAGCACAATTTACAATAGCGAAGTGCTGGAAGCAACCTAAAAGCCCATCGGTAAATGAATGGATTAAAAAACTATGGTACATTTATTTACATGATAGAATACTATGCAGCAGAAAGAAAGAAGGAGTTCCTACGCTTTGCAACAGCATGGATAGAACTGGAGAGCATTATGCTGAGTGAAATAAGCCAGGCGGTGAAAGACAAATACCATATGATCTTACCTTTAAGTGGAACCTAATCCACAAAACAAACAAGCAAGCAAAATATAACCAGACACCTTGAAATTAAGAACAAATGGATAGTAACCAGAGGGGAGGCTGGAGAGGATAATGGGGAGAAAAGGGTGAAGGGTTTTCAGGAACAACTATCAAGGGCACATGGACAAAACCAAGATGGCTGGGAATCAGGGAAAGGAGGGAGGGATGGCTGGGGTGGGGGAAGGAAGACAACTGTACTTGAACAACAATAAAATGCGTAAGAAAAGGCAGTTGAAGGCATTGATTTCAAAAAATAAATAAAATAAAAATGTTTTCATTAGTATTTTAAAAAAGGAAATATCCAAAATCCTGAAACCCTATTATGCCTTTGACATAAAGTTACTTTCATCTTCCCATATATAAGTGAAAACAAAAAATAAAAATAAGTTCAAATTTTTGAACACAGGTTAATAATGAAGACAATTAAGAAAGTGAGATTTCCCTCTGTGTTCCTCAAGTTCTACTAATAATATCTTAATATCTCCAAAACCCCATTCTTAAATATTTAGATATCTATAACTAGAGGCCCTGCAGGATATAAGCACCCACACCATTAGGTTCCCACATTAAGAAATCTGAATCTTCTAGCTATCTGTTCCTATTTGGCATACTCCAACTTACTTTGAAGTGAGAGGCATATAAAACAGTCAATTCAGTCATTTATCTGACTTTTGCATGACCTAAGAAGTTTCGAATATGAAGTCAGTATTACACATTTTAGAAGCTCAATAAATACATGGCAAAAAACACCAGAATCCTTTCTAGAGTTGAAAATCGAGTATGCTAATTTTCTTTTAAAAAATACCTATTTCAAAATGTCCTTGCATTTTAACTTAGGGAACCAAATGGTTAAAGATCTTCTACAGTAAGTTTGATACTTCAATCAATGATGTAACCATCCGCCATTTCAGTTTTCTCCCTCTCTTCTCCACTGACTTTTCTGCACTGATATTATTCTCCTTTCAAATCTTAATCTGCCAGAACACTTTTAATCCCATGAAACCATTTGGAGCTATAAAGGCACAAGTATAAAAATGAACTACATACAAAGTAATTAAAATACCTTTCCATAAAATCACTTAAAATGTTTATTTGAGTACGGAAAATCTGTGTTCTACCACAGGATTTCTGGGTAGCTCTTT